CAATAGTTGACGAAGACCCTAGATTGGTCTCGGTCTTTGCTACAGCAATTCCGCGAGGGACAAGAGAAGCAAATTCATTGGGGCCAAATTTCTTTTTTCTCAATGGCTTGGGACAACGGTTGAGCAGGTGACCAAATCTACCGCAATTACAGCACTTCGGAGACAGTCTTGGATAAGTTACATTAACCCGAACCGAGTTAAGCTGAGCATCTCGAACAACAATTGTTGATGGAGGAGGACTATCAAGAGGAATTTCAACTTTAACCTTAGTATCACCAAAATGATACGGATCCAGACGCGCTTTTTCTGTGTGTAATGGCTCACCTATAGCACTTGTGATGACACTAATACCATCAAGGGAGTACATTTGTGGAGGCACATTGTTTAACACAGCCCATGTAGGAGCTGTCGTCAACTCTGGTAGAACTAAGGAAGCTTCAGGAGACCAGGGGTGAACTGAGAAGGCACAATTACCAGCTTGCCAATACCCAACTTGTAAGACCCAATTTCTTGTGGAAGGACAAGGAACAAAAATGAGGCAACTAGTGTCTGAAACCACACGCACAGTGATATTTCCATACTTTCCCCGGGCAGGATTGAGGTCAGATATTATCTTGAAGCTGGAGGAATAAGACCATGGAATTGGGCGATAATGTGATCTTTCCATTGGTCCGCTGTTTCTAGCAAAACTAAAGCAGGGGCTTGAACAACAGGGGTGCCGTCTTCAAGGTACTCAGGAGTTGACATTTTCTTTAGATTCCTCAAAGAGGCCTTGAACCGCTGAGCAAGCGTCGGAGTAGCATTGGAGAGCGTACCCGACGGAATAGCATTGGATAGCGTACCCGACGGAACTGCAGAAGGAAGCTTTGGATCTGAGGCAGACAACTGGGAATTTGACGAGAAAGCCAGAAGCGTGGCTGAAATTTTGGGAGGAACCGAAGCTGAAGGTTGAGGAGCCACAATGGAGATCTGAGAAACCAAAGCCGGAAGCGGAGAACATTGAAGCAATATTGATGGGTCTTTTGACTGAAGCTGAGGCGCAACAGAGGAGGTTAAATCCTCCGAAGCAGAGACCGGATTGACCAGTGGAGCCGAACACACAAGAGACGGCATCTCATTGGCCAGAAGCAGCGAACCAACAGAAAATAAAGAGGCTGACAAACCGGAGTCGAAGGATCGACCAAATACCAGATCTGGAGGGTCTGGGGGAACATGATCCATTGGGCAAGAAAGGAAGAGAGGGGAGAAAGTAGAGTATTCTCAGTGAACGGCGAGAGGCCGCACACCGGCGAGCACGAAGAAAAAAGAAGAAGAGAAGAAGAAGAAGAATCGCCCTTACAATCGCCAAGGCACGATTACCAAGACTACTTGTTTTTTTTCACTTTTACTATTTATCTCCAATAAAATACAAATTAAACATATGAATTGAAAAAATTATACGCAATATAATCGTAGTATATATATCTTCAAAACGTTTATACTTTCTATATTGTCAAATGATTTTAAAATTTTTAAATGTAGTTTTGGTATCTTTATAGTCAGGTTTCGATTTAATATACTCTTTATCAACATTTTAAACATTTAACTATGATAACGATGGATTATCTTGCGTATTAATTTTTTGATGTTCTCGAAATGTTTTTGTACTTTTCGAAGTTAGAAGATAAAACTGCAAAAAATTATGACTTGCAGAGATTTTTCACGAAATCTTTTGTATTGTACTCTACTAATAGAAAATATACATTTTTAGAAGAAAAAACGAATATAATTAAAAAAAATACTAAAATTAATCTATTGTGTAATTTACTTTTGATCTCTACTACAAATCAAGTCGAAACCAAAATCAAATCAAATAAACCGAACTCAAACCGAAACTAATTTGGAATTTGTTTCTCACAACCAACAAAAAACGAACATGAGTTAACCAAAAAACATTGAATGTAAACCATGGGCATAAATAAAACGCTGCCGTTTTGCTTCGATTTATTAATTACTTATTTTATTGTCCTTGAAAAATGGATCGAGCCACCGAGGAAGAAAGCATTTGGAATCTAAAAAAACTTCAGATAAATAATGAGATCAGACACACAACGAGATCGCCACAATTTCCGCAATTTCATCTTCTGGAATATGATTTGAAATCTCCGATATAGATCAGAGAAGAAAGAGAAAGCTTCCGTTTATGGCTACCACCACCACCACCGTCGTGTGCGGCGATGCTGAAGGTTGCGATGACGAGAGAAGAAGCCTGGATCTGTTACCAGCGGCTCTCTTGGAGACAATCATGACGAAACTCGATGTTGCGTCTCTCTGCTCTTTGGCTTCAACTTGCAAAACACTTAAGAGCTGTGTCACTCGTGTCCTCACCTTTACTCCTAACTTCCACGTCTTCGTAAGTCATCAGTGATTGCTTTAAGGGTTTAATTTGGATTTGAAATTTAGACTGAACTTGTGTAAAAAGTTTTGATTTTTTAGACTGCTGCTGATTTGAGACTGGATATGTATTAAAGGTTTAGTCTTTATGATCTCTGTTGCTGTGGTATTTGGGTTTCAGAATGTTTCATACGGTTTGATTGATTTGGATTTGAATTTTAGACTGAATTTGTGTAAAAAGTTTTGATTTTTTAGACTCTGCTGCTGATTTGAGACTGAATATGTATTAAAGGTTTAGTCTTTTTGATCTCTGTTGCTGTGGTTTTTGTGCTTCAGAATGTTTCATTGTCAATGGAAACTGTTAGGCCATTGTTGTTACCGAATCAAAAACTTTCAAGCCTCAAGCTTGATTGTGGAAGACTTGGTAATTCAGCTATTGACATATTGGTACGTCCTTCTCTACGGGAGATGTCTCTTCACAATTGTAGAGATTTCAGCGGCGATCTTATTTCTGAAATTGGTAGGAAATGCAAGGATTTGAGGTATGTATGTATGTATGTGTTTGTTCAAGTTTTTGATGCATCTGAATCTTTTCCACTGTTGTGTTTGACGAAATTTGGTCATTGTTCTTGAAACAACTTCAGGCTTCTCTGTTTGGGTTCAGTAGCAGAGAAAGTTGGTAGAAGCATTAGCCGTTGTGCTTTGGAAGATTTACTTAATGGCTGCTCCCATTTAGAGGTTTGAATCCTTAATCAACCTTTTGCTTCATTTCTTTTATATCTTTTGATACTTGAATGATATAACTGTATCATTTTACGTGTTTTGGGTGTTTGTGTAATGGTTCTGTGCCATATATGTTGTCTTGGTAGGTTTTAGCACTCATGTTTGACCTCTCATTGTATCTACGTCCTGGTGATGGTCGCATTTTTGGGTTGGTATCTGATAAGCTCACTCATCTGGAGCTAGGACACATCTCGTCAAGGATGATGACTCAACTACTCACTCCAACTTCAATGTCGGGGGAAGACAGCAACCGAGTTACATCTACTGTGCTACAAAATGTCCAGCAGTTGCGTCTCTCGGTAGATTGTATTACTGATGCTGTGGTTAAGGCAATATCTAGATCTCTTACGTCGTTGGTAGATTTGGACATAAGAGATGCGCCCCTTGAGGATCCCAGGCAATTGTCAGACCTCACGGATTTTGGGCTTCATGAGATTAATCAAAACGGTAAGCTGAAGCACCTCTCTCTAATCCGTAGCCAGGAGTTTCATCCTACTTATTTCCGGCGAGTTAGTGATCAAGGAATGCTTTTTCTTGCTGACAAATGTTTGGGCATGGAAAGCATATGTCTTGGTGGCTTTTGTCGGGTAACAGATGCTGGTTTCAAGACTATTCTGCACTCTTGCGCTAGTCTTTCCAAGTTTAGCGTATATCATGGAACTAAGTTGACGGATCTGGTCTTCCATGACATCTTAGCAACTACTCTATTGCTTAGTCATGTTAGCTTAAGAAGGTGCCATCTTCTTACGGACCATGCGATTCAAAAGCTAGCGTCAAGTCTCAAGCTGGAGAATCTTGATCTAAGAGGGTGCAGAAACCTGAGAGATGAAACCTTAAAAGCCGTATCTTGTCTGCCAAAACTGAAGGTTTTACTTCTTGATGGTACTGATATAACCGACACAGGGATTTCCTACCTGAAAGAGGGAGTTTTGGCCTCCCTGGTTTCTTTATCTGTCAGAGGTTGCATAAACCTAACAGACAAATTCATGTCTACCTTATTTGATGGATCCTCAAAACTCGCGATGCGGGAACTCGACTTGTCTAATCTTCCTAATTTAACAGATGCTGCCATTTTTGCTCTAGCCAAATCTGGAGCCCCAATCACAAAACTGCAACTAAGAGAGTGCAGATTCATAGGTGATCCGTCGGTTATGGCTCTTGCATCGACTCGGGTTTACGAAGATGAATGTCCTGGAAGTAGCTTATCCCTATTAGATCTTTACGACTGTGGCAGCATCACTCAACTCTCATTCAAATGGCTAAAGAAACCGTTTTTCCCGAAGCTGAAATGGTTAGGGATCACAGGAAGTGTGAACAGAGATATCGTAGATGCTTTGGCAAGGAGACGACCACAATTGCAAGTCTCTTGCCGCGGAGAAGAGCTGGGAAATGATGGGGAAGACGACTGGGACTCTGCTGACATACACCAACACATAGACGCACAAGAGGACGAACTTGTACAGTGGATCTTAGGAGACGAAGGTGATATTGAAATGGACGATGCAGAAGACGAGAGTGAAGATGACGAGAGTGAAGAAGACTGATTAAAATACTCAAAGTATATGTGTAAGTGTAACAACAACTCTCTTCCTCTTTCTAACATAAAGATTGAGATCTATGTTATCATTCTCAATTGGTCATCTTTTGTTCATGCTCACAGTTGCATGAGGACGCGTCTAGACACTTGTAAACCAAACTATAAGCTTAACCGCAGATCAAGTCGTGGAGTCAGACTGCGGATGAAAGGTTCGGAACAGGACATGAATGAGTCAAAAGCTCTGTTTTATCTTCTCAAGTGTTAGATAGGATGTTATTGTTTCGCTTATATTACCAGAGAGATTCGATTCTGTTAATATTGTTTGTATGATCATTGATTTAAGAGGGGAAGAAAACAGTGTTACGAGGATATTCTCTACTTGTACACTCTTGTTAATTCCCCCAATCAAAACATTTATAAACTTCAATTCTAAGCTTTGTTGAACTTCATAAACCTTGATCTTATACGTTGTCGGAACGCATTAACCCTTGGTATCAACACCATATCACCAAATCTTTTAAACGTTTTCAAGATAACTCCATTTGCAGAGGTAAAAATCTATACGATAACTCCTTGAGTTTTCTTTTTCCCTCGCCTGCCAACAACTAACACATAAGACTTTAAAAATCTTCCGATGGTCATTTCAGTCTTGGCCAAAGATATGATGATAGAGTCAAGACATTCATGTGATGTATGCTATAACATGTTCTACCAATTAAAACTAAGCCTACTTAAGCTACGTATCACTTATGGTATAGTGGTATCTCTAAATATATCATGTTGATGTCTTTATATAGTCTATGACTCATCTATGTTTCTCTATGAACAAGATATATGTAGAGAAACTGCAACGTATTTACTAACAGAATGAGTGAATATTCCTAACAGTTAGTTTGAAAACGATCAACGATCGATATAAAACTTTAATTGGACGGGAACACCATAGTTATAAATTATATCTACAAAATTGTAACATGTTTACAAAATGTTATTTGAATACTAATCTTTGTGCTTCCTGTTATTCATCATCATATAATTTTTCTTTCCTCTTTGTGTAGTGCTTATTTAGAAAGTTAGATAAAAAAATTCTACAGCGTTGTCTAACCTTACTTCACCTTTTAAATCAGTTATTTAAGTTTATTTGTTTTATTCTTGATTTTGGTAAATTTGGAATAACTTTTTTTCTTCTAATTATTACCTTTGCTAATTATTGAAGATATTAAAAGAAGTTAAGTTGGACTTTAAATATGGAAATAATGGAAATATTCTGTAAACTTAAAATATCATGCGGTGCCAATAAATAATTATATAAGTATGTAGCTTGGAAAACATCGACAACTCCCATTGAATAACACAAATCAATATGGACCATAAAGAGAGTTCGATGCTAGGTTCGGTTTGTTTTCATTTAAATTTAACACTTATATTTAAAAAAAAATAAAAACATCTTGTATGTCGTTGTTAAAAATCAAAACATTACTTCAAATTTATAAATTTACTTAAATTATAAAAAAACCTTAAAACCTAAGCGTTAAATTTTTTACAACACGTGATAACATGTTGAACTTATACACCACTAACGGACCACAAAGGGACTGGATGCTCAGCCCAGTTTGTTTTCAACGTATTAAAATTTAACACTTAGATTTAACCCCAAAAAATGATCATTTTGATTTATTAAATATCAAAACTACTTTTACTTGAAGTTTGTTTTTAAAAACCTTTATATTTAGTTGTAAATCAGGAAAATAGAAAAGAAAAACATAAAATCTTTTTTTTTATGTATATTTTTATATCAAAATCAATTGTTCTTAATTTTAATTTTTTTAAAATAAAAGTTCGAAAAGTTGAAATATACCTGTTATATTTAAATATCCTGAGGGATGAGGTGACTCAGTCCGTGGTCGTGTCTGAATTTTGCTACACATAATACAAAAACAAACCCATCAGCGATTTCATAATCGTCAAAAATTCAACTATTTTGATAACACTAAAGACAACTATTACGAACCTGCTAAGTGCTAATACCTCTGTTCCTCTCTTTAATATATATAAAATCCTCTTATAAATATTCTCCTAGTCTCTAATGACTGAAGAAAACAGAGGATCGATGGAGATCATCATAAAGACATTCATCGAGTCTTGACTACTGAATACACAAAATCATACACTCAGTTCAAAACAAAGAGATGAATAATATATATAAAATCCTTGAATCACAAAGGCTAACATGTTTGATGAACTAAAAAGTACACAAAATGGCTTGTATTTGCATCAATCCAAAATCGTATATGCATATACACACACCTACGAGATTCAGTTCTGTAAGCTGCAGACAGGTAATAATAAGTCTATATGTGGTCGAGAAGCAACATGAGCTCAATAGTAATAACAAATGCCAATGAATCTCGCAAATCAGATCAGTATACCTCGGTTATAAATGTAGTAATGCTGATGCTACATGATCATCAAATCTTCATGATAATAGAGAACAACATCAAAGACCAGCAAAGACAATATATATATATATATATATACTAATAACTAAAATCAAAAACAAGAAAACAACAACAACAGAGAAGTAGAAACTAATAGCTCACCAAGAACAAACATACCTCCTCCTATCAAAGGTCTGCATATTAATGGATTTGTAATAGTTAAGCAAAAGAGGAAATTCTAACACTGGAATACACAAAAAAAATCATATAAGAAGGCAGAGATATAAAAGAGACAAGAGAGAACCACGAATACTCATTACAAAACCAAAGAGAGGAATACTAACCAGATACGTGAATCATAGGACCAACATGATTGATGAACTGAATAGTATCACACATTGGCTTGCATCAATCGTTTATACATACATATACGCTTATGAGATTGTGAAACCAAACAAACTGTATCAATCGTATATACATTGGACACAAATCAAATCAAATGTAATTCCAAAAGGCAAAAGGATGATGATTGCTATAATAGTAAACTCCTAAAAATTGGATAAAAGTTCTCAACTTCTAAGACACAAGACATCAAAAACAAGACAATATGCAGACAGAGGAACAAGAAGAGATAGAGCGGTACCGTGAAGGGAAAAGAGGAAGCAAGAGCACCACCATGAGGACAAAGCAGAGGCTAGATCCCAAGACGAAGCAGAAGAAGAGGAATCAAAAGCCTGGATCACCACCACCACGTCTCAAGCCTCAGCACCCTATGATCGCCGTGTTGCATATCTCGATCATCATACCGAATCTCACAACAACAAATCAACCAGAGGAAATCTATAAAGGTAGAAGCTTTACACCGACGATGAAAGGAAATCTATAAAGGTGGAAGCTTTACACCGACGATGAATCAGAGAATCGAAGAAGAAGAAGAAGAAGAAGAGAATTTTGATTTCTCGATGAAAAGGAAGAGCGGAGAAGAAGCGTTGTGGAGTTGAGAGAAAGAGTAAATTTTTAATACTTAAAAAGGAAAATTAATTAAGAGGTTAATTAAAAGAAAAGGAAATTGATAATTATCTCAATCATAACGGTTATATTAATATGAGTTTTAAGGAAATCTATACGAGATTTTGTTTCTGTTAATTTTTCTTCTATCACAACGGTAACAACTTAATTTACATTTTTAAAACAAATGAAGCTCAATAATTACATTGCGAAAAGAAAATTTAAAAATAGGAATTGAGTTAAATTGGGCTGCAAAGAAAGCCTATGTGACCGTGATGTTGTGGAGTTTATGAGAACGTGGAGTTTATTTTTGCATTTTTGTTTTGTTTTGGATGTGTTTTTACGTGAACATGACGTGACGTTGTGGATAGAGTTTATTTTTTTGCATTTTTGTTTTGGTTGTGTGTTTTATGTGAACATCACGTTGTGGGTGGAGTTTATTTTTACATTTTTGTTTTGGTTGTGTTTTATGTTATGTGAACATTGAGGTTGTGGAGATTACTTGTTTTGGTTGTGTTTTATGTTTTCGTGCGTTTAATGTTTTGATGAGAGAGGTAAAGAAGTCAAACTTACTAAACCAAAACCGATATCCCCAGACGAGGTTGCTTCTTCTCATTCATACTTTCAAGTGTTAAACCTGGACAATGTTTCACATTCGTCAAACAAGCTTCAGAAAATGGTAGAGACAGTTTGTATTAAAAAAAAAAAATTTAACTATGTTAGCTCTGAAATGAAGCAATAGACAAAAAAACTACTAGAAAATCAAGCAATCTCAGGGATATATTTCTAAGTTTTTACTATTCCAAAACAGATTCTACTCAAAACGCCAACATCTGAAGACCATTCATTAGATAAACAAAAACTAGCTTCTACAGAGCTTACTTTTTTAAGAGAGTCCTGAACAGTTTTATCTGTGTACGCTAATGAAATAGGTCGATCAACAAGATTTATGTCCTGCAAGTTACAAAAAAGAAGTTAAAACACTTATACATACACCTGAGAAAATATACAAACCTCTTAACGAGACAAATCACTTTATATTGTCTGCTCCAATAGTTCGATCAGTATCATTATGCTCACTGAAACAAACAACCACACAGGAAAGTAGAGATGATTCAAAACTAAGTGTTGTTGTGTCAGAATTCGAGGAACGTGTCTGTGAAGTTTTTTGTTGCTAGTGTTGAGTTTTACTTTTTGTGTTGGAGTTTTGCGTGAATTGTGTCATTGGAGTTTTTGCGTGAATTAATGTTTTTGGTTATGTGTTTGGAAGTGTGTTTGTGTTTAGATTTTGTTGTGTGTCTAAACTTCGTTTAAGCGTTTTGTGTAGAATCTGTTTTGGGATAGTGCAAGCCTCTATCCCACGTGTTAGCTTACTAATAGTTGGCAGGAAAGAACATGCGGAACAAGCCAGACTAGGGGACTAGTCTGTCCACTAATTGGTAAGATAGGAAGAGAGAGAGAGAGTTAGAGATACTTCTTCACCTTAACCCTTGTATGGTCTCCAAACTTGTCTTTGCAGCTTAAAGATTCCTTCTCTTGAAATCGAAGCACCTTATCAATAAAGTCTGTAACTATGAGTAAACACAGAGCAAATAAGATTACAAAATTAAGTAAACCAAAAACAACAGCAACCGACTTTCAAGTGTTAAACCTGGACAAAGTTTCACATTCGTCAAAAAATTAACAAGCTTCAGAAAATGATAGAGACACAGTTTGTATTTTAAAAAAGTTAACTATGTTTCCGTGGTTTTGACAAGAAAATGTACCTTAGTGGCAGTGCAAGTCCACCAGCAGTCAAGTTATTTCCTTTCAAATTCCTGTGACATATATAATTGTCATAGACAAATTCATTATCAAATGTCTGTCAAACGTAAAGCCTCTCTATATGCTTACAATGACTCAAGAAGGGAGAGATGTCTACATGAGAAGGCTATTGGTATTTTGTAACCCACTTGAACTAAGATTCATCTCACAGCAAGAAAGACAGAAACAAGCTCGCTCATCAACAAAATTATCCTTCAGGGAAATTACAGATATGAGTACTTATTGTCTGGTTGAGAAAAATGATTTACAGAGACTTGATTTGATAATTTTAGGTACCTTCACAAGGAAATGGTGTTGCAGAACTAGGATCACCAGTTCAAACCTTTTCACTTTCTAGTTATGGCGTCAACTGCATATTAAGAAGAGAACATGGATAACTGTGAGTTTTAGTATGAATCAAGATTCAGAATACACAGTAGAGATGAAAACATAACACACCGCCTTGAATGGTGGTGGAAAATTCATCAGAGATTGTGCCGTGAATGTCTAGATTTTTCTGTTTGCATTCCTCTTGAGATTTTCGAATTCTGCAAAATAAAAATGAAATGAGATTCTGTCAAAAAGACAAACCATAATTCTTGATCAGTGAAACCAGAATCATAAATTAAAAAGACAATTTATAAAAAAACAGTTACCTGGTCAGTGGTCATGTTTGGTAGCATCACAAACTTTTGCTCTTTCTTATGAACCATCCTCATCTACGGGAAAGCATTTTGAACTATATAGCATATTTGCATTTCTCTTGAAGAAGAAGACAGGTTAATGCATGCTACACTGGCAATGACCTTTATTAGTAAGTCAACAACAACCAGAGATACATAATCGTACAGTTTAACACCTTAACCGTTATGCTGTTATGCACAAGTGTTGTTGTTAGCTCTGAAATGGAGAAATAGACAAAAAATTATTTAGAAAATCAAGTAATCTCAGGGACACGAAACACTACATGTACCAAAGACCATTCATTAGATAAACAAAAACTAGCTTCTACAGAGCTTACTTTTTTAAGAGAGTCCTGAATAGTTTTATCTGTGTACGCTAATGAAATAGGTCGATCAACAACATTTATGTCCTGCAAGTTACCAAAAAAAAGAAGTTAGACACTTATACATACACTTTATAAAATACACACACCTCTTAACGAGACAAATCTCTTTATGTTATCTGCTCCAATAGTTTGATAAGTATGATTATGTTCACCTGCAACTGAAACGAACAACCACACAAGAAAGTAGAGATGATTTGAAAGTAAGTGTTGTTGCGTCGGAACTCGTGGAACGTGTACGTGAAGTTTTTTTGTTCCTAGTGTTGAGTTTCACAATTTGTGTTGGAGTTTTTGCATGAATTATGTTTTTGGTTATGCGTTTGGAAGTGTGTTTGTGCGATTTTGTTGTGTGTCTAAATTTCGTTTGAGCATTTTGGGATAGTGCAAGCCTCTATCCCAAGTCATGTTTGAGCGTTTTAGCTTAATAATAGTTTGCAGAACACAGATGCGGAACAAGCCAGACTAGAGGACTAGTCTGTCCACCAAATTTGTAAGATAGGAAGAGAAAAAGAGAGAGAGTTAGAGATACTTCTTCACCTGAACCCTTGAATGGTCTCCAAACTTGTTTTTGCAGCTTTAAGATTCCTTCTCTTGAAATCGAAGCACCTTATCAATAAAGTCTGTAAACAAAGATAAAGTCTCACTATATGCTTACAATGACTCAAGAAGGGAGAGATGTCTACATGAGAAAGCTATTGGTCTTTGTAACCCAATTGAACTAAGATTCATTCTCACAGCAACAAGCTCGCTCATCAACAAAATTATCCTTCAGGGAAATTAGAGAAATGAATTCTTATTGTCTGGTTGAGAGAAATGACTTACAGGGACTTGATTTGATAATTTTAGGTACCTTCACAAGGGAATGGTCTTGCAGAACTCAGATCACCAGTCCAAACCTTTTCACTTTCTAGTTATGGCGTCAGCTGCATATTAACAAGAGAACAGTATAACTGTGAGTTTCAGTATGAATCAAGATTCTGAATACACAGTAGAGATGAAAACATAACATGCACACCGCCTTGAATGGTGGTGGAAAATGCATCAGAGATTGTGCGGTGAATGTCTAGATTTTTCGGTTTGCATTCCTCTTGAGATTTTCAAATTCTGCAAAATAAAAATGAAAAGAGATTCTGTCAACAGGACAAACCATAATTCTTGATCAGTGAAACTGGAATCATAAATCAAAAAGAAAATTTATACCTCTTTATTACCTCTATATTAACTCCTTAGAGATACATCAACAAGCACACATAAGGTTATTGCTGCAAGTTACACACCAAGTAAGCCGATTTAAAGGACATTATACACAAAAATCATAAACAAAAGAACAATGTCTACATCAAACATACAGAACCACACATCTTATCACTTAATTAACAAGACTGAAAATAAAATGAAAAACAGAGATTTTCTCAAAAAGACAGGAACCATAATTTTTTATCATAAAAACAAGTACCTGGTCAGTGTTTAAATTTGGTAGCATCACAAACTTATGCTCTTTCTTATGAAAACCCGGTTTTAACTTGAAACCATCCTCATCTACGGGAAAGCATTTTCAACTACATAGCATATTTGCATTTCAATTGAAGAAGAAGACAAGTTAATGCATGTTATATTAGTAAGTCAACAACAAACAGAGTAGCATAGAGCGAAGAAATAAAAACAAGGCATTAAACTAAAACAACAAAAAAAGATACAGAATCGTACAGTTTTAACACCTTAACCGTTATGCACAAGTGTTGTTGTTTGCTCTGAAATGGAGAAATAGACAAAACACTATTTAGAAATCCAAGTAATCTCAGGGACACTAAACACTACATGTACCAACTCCTTCTCACTTCCACAACGTCACTCAACAACCATATATTTCTAAATTTTTAACAACATCTGAAGACCATTCATTAGATAAACTTACCTTTTTTAAGAGAATCTTGAACAGTTTTATCTGTGTACGCTAATGGAATAGGTCGATCAACAAGATTTATGTCCTGCAAGTTACAAAAAATAAGTTAAACACTTATACATACACTTAATGAAATACGAGACAAATCTCTTTATGTTGTCTGCTCCAATAGTTCGATCAATATGCTTTATGATCACCTGCAACTGAGACGAACACCCACACAAGAAAGTAGAGATGATTTAAAAGTAAGTGTTGTTGTGTCGGAACTCGTGGAACGTGTACGTGAAGTTTTTCGTTCCTAGTGTTGAGTTTCACTATTTGTGTTGGAGTTTATGCGTGAATTATGTTTTTGGTTATGCGTTTGGAAGTGTGTTTGTGCTTAGATTTTGTAGAGTGTCTAAATTTCGTTTGAGCGTTTTGGGATAGTGCAAGCCTCTATCCCAAGTCATGTGTTAGCTTAATAATAGTTAGCAGAACACAGATGCGGAACAAGCCAGACTAGAGGACTAGTCTGTCCACAAAATTTGTAAGATAGGAAGAGAAAAAGAGAGAGAGAGAGTTAGAAGATACTTCTTCACCTTAACCCTTGTATAGTCTCCAAACTTGTCTTTGCAGCTTAAAGATTCCTTCTCTTGAAATCGAATCTCCTTATCAATAAAGTCTGTAAACAAAGAGCAAATAAGATTACAAAACTAAGTAAACCAAAACCAAAAAACAGAGCCTTCTTTAAGGAATCGTCTAGTCCATTCACTTTAGTCTACTGAGATGAAGAACGTAACATGTTAATATCAAGTCTTAGAAAATTTTCGTGTTTATGAAATTGAGATAAAAGAACTGAATCACAAAACTTATACAATTCCATCGATCGTCTTTCTAACAAAGAAACAGAGAAAATAATTCATCACAAACAAATTCTAAATCGCTAGATTTTTTCGTAATCAAAAACCCTAACTCGGTTGAAACAAGACATTAAACTAGCAATAAACAAAGACAACACAAAGATCATCATCATCATCATCATCATCATCATCTATTACCTGAATTGTTCTGCGTAATCCGATCCAATCGTCACCAGACTTCACGGCGACAAAAGTTTTTTGTTTTCTCCCAAATTGCGATCCCATCCATCAGATTCATCACCGGCTGTTGCAACTGATGGAAACAGTCACATATTTTCCGATCAGATTAAATTGAATCGCGAAATAAGTTTCCGATCAGATGAAGAAACCGTTTTGAGTTTTTGTGTCGGTGATGGAATGAGAAAAAGAGAACTTTGTATCTATTTGTACTGGTTTAGGCCAATTACTGTGTAATTACGAAAGTACCCCGGTATAGTTCCGTTAATATGGATTTTAAAATTCAAATTACAAGCTACGTATTTCATATCAAACGGACAGATTAGAATTAGATCTTGGTTTAACTAATATGACTTTATAATGAAATAACCAAGTTTGATTTCCGGTTCCTTCGTAAACCAAAATTTTTAAAAATTGTGTAAACGCGGATGCGATATGGTCTGCCATTTTATTTTGTTAACTCACTCCTTGATATTTCCTGTATTTATTATATAACCATGTATTTTCATTTTTTCACATTAACACCAAACTTTTTCAACTTATCTATAAAGATTTTAAATCTCATATACCAATATTAATCATCGTAAACAAAAGACAAGAAAATAATGTAAAAACTAGATTAGTAGTACCCCTGCACGAATTGTCTTTCATAATATACAAAATTATATACATGTCATTTAATTTTTTTGATATATAATATTAATTTATATCTCGCAATTCTCGTCGTATGATAAATAACTCATTTTAGTATATTATACATTACATTTAACTTGCCGCCTGCAATAAATATTTTAAATATCAAATTAGAGTATTTGTAATTTTTATTTTTATTTTTATTTAAGATTTTTATGATATATTTTTTTAAATCTCAAGTTAAAATATATTTACATGTTTCAATTTAAAATATTTAACATTTTTATTGCATTATATAAAACTATATATTTTATTTAAATTGTGACCCGTCACTTAGTTAAAACTTTTGTTGGATATATTTTTGCATAAAATAAATATATTACACAAATTTGAACTTGTGACATGATATAATTTTTTCTTTATAAATTAAACATATTTTTTTATTTTTAAAAATGCAAATCATGGAATATCTAGAAAAAAAAATCTACATTATTATTATTATTATTATTATATGAATGATGTGATGAGTTATTTGTTTCACACAAATATAAGTATATATAAGATGAAAGGTGAAATATAATAATTAAAAACAAATTAATATGATAATTTAGACATATAAATCTTCTATGTGTATGATGAGTTATCTATTTTGCTTACGTTCCATGCAGATTACACGTAACACTACTTACTAATTAACGTAATTAGTTTTTTTTTTTTTTGTGCCATGCATCACAACAATCGGCGAAGTTTTTGTTTCTTTCTAAAAATTCGTAATTTTGTTAGGCAAAACTTTCTTTTTTCTAGATTTAATAAAATTATGTTGAAATGGATTTCAGAAACTCGTTCAAATCGCATCATAGCTCATACAAACAAATCAAAAGCCCCGGAGATCAAAGCGACGCAAGCCCTGAACATCTCCCGATCCTCCACGATCACGATCATCATTCCGGCATGGTAGATAACACCAAACCAGAGAGCAACCGTTCTAGCCTCGACGACGACGAGGAAGACGACGGACGTAACGCGCCGGTGGAGCGTGATGCAAGCTACAAGTTCTGGCAAGACAACACAACAGCAACGACCTCTTCCTTGGATCACACGTCATCGAGGGTTAGTGCTAAAGATCCGATCGCTATCAATAGAAAAAGCGATAGGTTCAGCGGTAGTTTCGATTTCGCGCATGGCGGTGGTGGAAAGGCGATAATAGAAGAGTCTCCGACGAAGATGGTGGCGGCCGGAGGAGAGTCTATGAATCGTTGGAGAGTGAGGAATGATCATGAGATCACACTTGATGTGGATCAAGATAATGATGACGTTAGTCACCAAACAATGCCTACGCCTACGTCAACGGCTCGAACCTCGTTTGATGCGTCTAGAGAACTGAGAGTCTCGTTTAACGTTCGTGGAGCCGGCGGTGGTACGTATGTTGCTGGTTCGGTTCCTTCTTCGTCTTCTCATTCGAGCACTTCTTCGTCCGCGACAATGCGGACGAATCAGGATCAGACTCAGCAACAGGAGGATGAGGTTTTGAGATGTACGTCGAACGTGTCGTTTCAGAGGAAATCAGAGATTATATCTAGAGTGAAGACAAGATCTAGGCTTCAAGATCCGCCACGAGAAGAGGAAACGCCTTTTTCGGGTTGGAGATCGGGTCAGTTGAAATCCGGGTTACTTGGTGATATAGATGAAGAAGATGATCCATTAGCTGAGGAAGATGTACCAGATGAGTATAAAAGTGGGAAGCTTGATGCAATAACGTTGCTACAGTGGCTTAGTTTAGTCGCGATTATAGCTGCATTGGCTTGTAGTTTATCGATTCGGTCTTGGAAGAAAGTTAGGGTTTGGAACCTTCATTTATGGAAATGGGAAGTGTTCTTGCTTGTTCTTATATGTGGTAGGTTGGTTTCGGGTTGGGGAATCCGAATCGTTGTCTTTTTTATCGAAAGAAACTTCCTTTTGCGGAAGCGGGTTCTTTACTTCGTGTATGGTGTGCGTAGAGCTGTTCAGAACTGTCTTTGGCTTGGCTTAGTCCTTCTCGCTTGGCATTTCTTGTTTGACAAGAAAGTACAAAGGGAGACAAAGAGCAAGTTTCTTCCTTACGTAACTAAGATCTTGGTGTGTTTCTTGTTGAGCACTATCTTGTGGTTGATCAAGACACTAGTGGTTAAAGTTCTGGCCTCTTCGTTCCACGTCAGTACTTACTTTGACCGGATTCAAGAAGCCTTGTTTAACCAGTATGTGATCGAGACCTTGTCCGGTCCTCCAATGATTGAGATGAGCAGGATTGAGGAAGAGGAAGAGAAGGCACAAGATGAAATCTTCAAGATGCAGAACGCGGGTGCAAATTTGCCACCTGATCTTTGCGCGGCTGCATTTCCACCCGCAAAGAGCGGGAGAGTGATGAATCCGAAGCTCTCCCCGATCATCCCGAAAACAACAAGTGATAACGGAATCAGCATGGAACACCTTCACAGGATGAATCACAAGAATATCTCAGCTTGGAACATGAAGAGGCTAATGAAGATTGTGAGGAATGTTTCTCTCACCACATTGGACGAGCAGATGCTTGAAAGCGCATACGAAGATGAATCCACCCGACAGATACGGAGCGAAAAAGAAGCTAAAGCAGCTGCAAGAAAGATTTTCAAGAACGTAGCTCAGCGTGGCGCAAAGTAAGCCGACATCTTTAATTTCCTTCTTTATTAGCATCAATATTGTTTCCCTAATGAACTCATATCTGAATAACAAAAAGGTACATTTACTTGGAGAATTTGATGAGATATTTGCGGGAAGACGAGGCGATAAAGACCATGGGCCTCTTCGAAGGTGCACCGGAGAACAAAAGGATTACCAAATCAGCCTTGAAGAACTGGCTGGTAATTGTTAATTTTCTGCAAAGACATTATTAGAATAAGATTCATCAGATTAAATTCTTTTGTGTATATATATCACTCCGTTGTTGACTTTGATTAGGTCAATGCTTTCAGAGAGCGAAGAGCTCTTGCCCTGACACTCAACGACACCAAGACAGCGGTGAACAAGCTCCATCACATGATTAACATTGTCACTGCCATTGTCATTGTAGTCATATGGCTTGTCCTTCTTGAAATTGCATCTTCCAAGGTACTTCTCTTTGTAAGTTCACAAGTTGTACTCTTGGCCTTCATCTTTGGGAACACTGTCAAGACCGTCTTCGAGTCAATCATCTTCTTATTCATCGTCCACCCTTACGATGTTGGTGATCGCTGCGAGATTGACAATGTACAGGTATGCCTACGCCTTTGCAATGTAACCCTCAAGAATCTTATTGATTAGCTAACAAAAAGGCTAATTAAATTTAAATCCAGTTGGTCGTGGAAGAGATGAACATACTCACTACCGTGTTCTTGAGATACGACAATCTCAAGATTATGTATCCGAATAGTCTTCTATGGCAGAAATCAATCAACAACTACTACCGCAGTCCAGACATGGGAGATGCAATAGAGTTCTGTGTCCACATCACTACTCCCCTCGAAAAAATCGATTTGATAAAACAGAGAATATCAAAGTAAGACTAATCCTTTTAATGGTTATGCGCGTTCTCATACCATATTTTGCTGATCAATTTTGTTTACTATTTAATCGCAATGCAGCTACATAGACAACAAGCCAGAGTATTGGTACCCACAAGCCAAAATCGTAGTAAAAGATGTGGAAGATTTGCACATAGTAAGGCTAGCGATATGGCCATTTCAAAGGATTAATTTCCAAGACATGCTTGAAAGATGGTCAAGAAGAGGCGTATTAGTCGAAGAAGTGATCAAGATCCTCCTCGAACTCGACATTCAACACCGGTTTTATCCGCTCGATATCAACATCCGAACAATGCCTACAGTAGTCTCTAACAGAACTCCACCTGGCTGGGCACAAATCCCACCTGCCTGAAAAATATTTATGAACAGCCAAACAAGGTTGATGTCTATTTCTTTCTTGTCTCAAACGAGTCAACAATTTTGTAACCAAAGAAAACATTAATCTAATTAATTAGTCCATATAACAACAATTTTGACATTTTAAGATTCAAGAGTTCTACTACACCAATCAAGAATCTATGACTCTACTCTTACATTGCATGTGCTTAGTTAGGACTAAGGAACAACTATAATCTCTAAATTAATCTTCCCTTATTCAAACTTAAGCCTAACTTCATCTACCCATTTTATCGTAACTCAATAACCAAGCTAGTTCTTGCCTATTGAGAAGATCGTTAAGCCTATTAGAAACGATCTTAAGTAACCTCTGAATTAATAAAAGAAGAGAAAATAATCAAAATCTAAGTCTAACGAGAGAAAACAGAACAATACGGGCATGCACGCAAGATGTTTTGTTGGGTGTTGTTAATGTTAATTAATCTGCCCACTTTATAACGAAAACTATCAAAGACCAAACTTAGAACATGAGATGTGTAGTAAAACACAAATTCATTAAATTTAGTGATCGTTTTATCAAAAATGACGAATTAATTACTATATTAAGTCTTTATCCAACTCATGGTGGTTTAAAAAAAAAAACTCCTAAACCAATTACAATTTTTAGTAAGTTAAAGTAACAAAGAACAAAAAAAAATAATACATACACCTAAACTTGTAACTCCTATTGAAAACTATAACGTAACCTTTGTTTGTTAATGAATCATCATCTTCTTCACAGTTTCTGTTTCATTTTCTAAAGATTCTTAAGTTTTGTCTATATTTTTTCTTCTTTTGTTGTTGTTTTGATTCATTTTATGGATTTTCGAAAACCCTTTAAGTCTCATAGTTCGTATAAACAGATTATAAGCACGGGAGATCAAAACGAGAAGACGAAGAAGAAGAAGAAACATCAGGTTCTTGACGATGGTTCTGGTTCTAGCTTCAGCGTCCATAAAGCAGCCATGGAAAGAGATCCCAGCTACATGTTCTGGCAAGATAATTCAACGGATGATCATGTTAAGAGTGGGAGTTTCGATTTCTCGCAGTGCCGTGAGGAGATCACACTTGATGTGAATGACGAAACAGAGGAAACAGAGGTTGTCAGTAACAATAACAATATGTTTGGTTCGAAAGAAATGAGAGTGTCTTTCAAGATCAACAGTTCAGGAACCAACAATTTGTCCAGTTCTGTCCGTTCTTGTGCGTCGTCGACTTCTTTTTCCTCGGCGACGATGCGGATGAATTTAGAGCAGCAAGAAGATGAAGGAGAGGTAGTTTTAAGATGTTCATCGATGAGGAAAACAGAGCTTGTTTCGAGGGCGAAGGCGAGATCAAGACTGATAGATCCTCCACAAGAAGAGGAACAACAGTACACAAGTTGGATGGGGACATCGGAGCAGTTAAGATCAGGTTTACTTGGGAGACAGTCCGATGATATTGAGGAAGAAGATGATTCATTGGCTGAGGAAGATGTTCCTGAGGAATATCGAAGGTTGAAAATGGACGCGGTAACGTTACTTCAGTGGCTGAGCTTGATCGCGCTCGTAGTTGCGTTAGTGTTGAGTCTTGCGTTTCATACGTGGAGAAATGCAACTCTTTGGAGCCTTCAATTGTGGAAATGGGAAGTGGTCTTGCTGGTTCTCATTTGTGGTAGGCTAGTTTCGGGGTGTGGAATCCGAATCATCGTCTTTTTTATCGAAAGAAACTTCCTATTGAGGAAACGGGTTCTCTATTTTGTGTACGGAGTAAAGACTCCTGTTCAGAACTGTCTCTGGCTCGGCCTCGTGCTTATCGCTTGGCATTTCTTGTTCGACAAGAAAGTAGAAAGGGAAACACATAGCGATGTTCTTTTTCTCGTGTCCAAAATCTTGGTGTGTTTCTTGTTAAGCACTGTCTTGTGGCTGATCAAGACACTTGTTGTTAAAGTTCTAGCTTCTTCGTTCCACGTTAGTACCTACTTCGATCGGATTCAAGAAGCTCTATTTCATCATTACTTGATCGAGACGTTATCTGGACCTCCAATGCTTGAGCTAAGCAGGATTGAGGAAGAGGAAGAGCGTGCGCAAGAAGAGATCTTCAAGATGCAGAGAGGAGGAGCCGATTTATCACCCGAGCTTTGTTCCGCAGCGCTCCCTCAGGAAAAAAGCGGGAGTACTGTGAACATAAAGTTATCTCCAATCATCCCGAAGACGGGAAGTGATAACGGAATCACAATGGAGGATTTGCACAAGATGAATCAGAAGAACGTTTCAGCTTGGAACATGAAGAGGCTAATGAAGATTGTGAGAAATGTTTCGTTGACTACGTTGGACGAGCAAGCGCTTCAAAACACATCTGAAGATGAATCTACTCGACAGATACGGAGCGAGAAAGAAGCTAAAGCAGCCGCAAGGAAGATTTTCAAGAACGTAGCTCAACCTGGTACAAAGTGAGTCTTCTTCACTCTACAATTTCTCTTCTTTCTCTAACAAAAATATACTTCTTACAACCTAATTAACAAAACCTCATATATGAATGACAAAAAGGCATATCTATCTGGAGGATTTGATGAGATTTTTGCCAGTAGACGAGGCGATGAAAACGATGAGCCTCTTCGAAGGAGCATTAGTAACCAAAAAGATCACAAAATCAGCCTTGAAGAACTGGCTGGTAAAATTAATAAGAGTTTTTGTTCTTGAGCTTATGTATATACATATGTCACTAATTATGTTGTTGATTCTGCTTAACTAGGTGAATGCTTTCAGAGAGCGAAGAGCACTTGCTTTAACACTCAATGACACCAAGACAGCAGTGAACAAACTCCATCACATGATTAGTTTTCTCACAGCCATTGTCATTATAGTCATATGGCTAATCCTTCTTGAAATCGCTACGTCCAAGTACCTTCTCTTTTTAACTTCACAAGTTGTACTCTTGGCATTCATGTTTGGGAACTCTCTCAAGACCGTCTTCGAGTCAATCATCTTCCTCTTCATAATTCACCCTTACGATGTTGGTGATCGGTTAGTCATCGACTCTGTAGAGGTACTAAGGATTTAAAATATGTTTTTAGTCTATTTAATAAATCTTGTAAGGTACAATAACTAACGAGATAAAAAATTGCAGATGGTGGTGGAGGAAATGAACATTCTCACAACAGTGTTCTTGAGAGCTGACAATTTAAAGATTGTGTATCCGAATATTCTTCTATGGCAGAAAGCAATTCACAATTACCATCGTAGTCCGGACATGGGAGAAGAAGTCACATGTTGTGTCCACATTACTACTCCTCCTGAAAAAATTGTTGCAATCAAACAAAGAATATCAAGGTAAAGATTCTCACACTTGTGCTTATAATGTCTTAAGTTGATATATTCTGAAGGATGATAATGATATTTTTCGCTAAAAACCCGCAGCTACATCGACAGCAAACCCGAGTTTTGGTATCCAAAAGCTGATATTATTGTCAAAGATGTGGAAAATTTGAACATTGTGAGGTTAGCAATATGGCCGTGTCATAAAATTAACCACCAAAACATGGGTGAGAGGTACACAAGAAGAGCCTTGTTGGTCGAGGAAGTAATCAAAATCCTCCTCGAACTCGATGTTCAGTACAGGTTTCATCCACTTGACATCAATGTCAAAACAATGCCCACGGTTGTCTCCAGCAGAGTTCCACCTGGCTGGTCTCAAATCCCTGATTCAGGGTAATATAGATGTGTCTGCTTATTCCTTTTTTAGTCGATATAACATTTTTAGTGTTATCTAAAGTGCATGAGAGTAAAGAAAATTATGGTTTAGTAATGAGGGTGTTGTATATATGAATGAAGGTGAAAGCAAATAAATGTTATATAAACTTTATGAAATTGAAACTAAATCACTTGTGTCTTCTTCTTTCTAATTTATTTTATTTGAATGTTAATCATTAAATCATTAGTTTATGTAACTAATAATATATATTTTTCTTTTGTCTACATTTGTGATCATATTTTGAATATATTGATCGACATAAATTTTTATCATATACTACAAAGCTATATATATACACTCTTATCTTATATATAACTTGATGAGTTCTTGTAATCACACTTCCTCTTCTGAGATCTTGTTGATTGCTTTGTTCAATGGTGAAGTTAGAACATCATTAATCAATAGACTTTGAAAGAACCCGATCAACTGCATTTTACATGCAAAACATCTTGGTCCATCATAAATTCATATAAAATTAATCAAATCAAAGTTATCCTTGATGGATATATGAATAGCTAGCAACACGTACCGAGGACAAGGAGATGCAAAGAAGGCTGAATCCAGGGAAATAGAACGGCGCATTATCCGAAAGAAACAATGCTACATATATACATGAAACCAATGTTTCAAATGTGTCAAAAGACATGAATGAAACTTCGTTAGTAGTAGTTTGTGTTTTTAGGGCCTTACATAGTTACAAACCTGTCAATGGACTGAATACAAATGGTGCCACAACTTTGCCAAAGGACCTAACTCCAGATATGCATCCTTGCACCTTTCCCTACATGATCAGTTCAAACAAGAGTTTGTGTTCTTATGTTTTTGTTTGAATGCTAATACAACAGATACCAATATATACAACCCTTACCTGTTCACCAGATCCAACCTGTCTTGAGGCAATACCACAAACCTGCATCCCAAAATGTTCAAACCTTTAATTTTATAGTACCCCATATATTACTTAAAGTATTGCTCCATTTACGATATAAGATAATATTCACAAAATTTGCTATATATTGACTAATTACTAACTATCTCAAAAAAAATATATCTTACTGAGGGCATCACAAACAAGGCTCCAGGTACAAAGACAGTAGTGAGATAAGGAACCTGCAAAATCGATATCGAAAAATAAAAATTAACAAAAGCAAATCAAATTGAGATGTGACATTGAACAAGTCCCCTAGTTTTGACTGACTCACCCATGGTGCCCAAGAAATACTAACAATGGCCATCTGCATCAATAGCAAGGTTCATTATTAAAATGTGTCAATAGAAGCATAAGTAATAAAATAACGTGTGCTATACATTTATGAATTCCATGAAAAGCCCTGTTGATAAAAGCTTGCGTTCTCCAATGGCAGATGCAAATCTTGGCAGAACAAATAGCTGAGAAAACATTTAGCAAAATCAATTTAACGTTCAAAATATATTCAAATATTAAAGCATAATATTGCTATGTTTATACAATACTATCTACAATATAATCACACGTAATTTATTTACTTGAGAGATAGATCCAACGATGGTAATCAAGAGCAAGAGATCAGCAAACTGTTTCTTGTCAAATCCAAAACGTGCTTTCAGAAAATACTGCATATATAGACAACAAAATCATACGTCAACAATATTCAACATGCAAATTTGACATTATAAAGAAAAACTCAATATCATATAAAATAAAGAGTAAATAATAATATGAGCTAAACCAAGAAAGCTGACTCCATTCCACTATCTGAGAAACTGCTGAAGAATGTAACAACCAATGCTTGCACGAATATGGTGCTGCATTATATATAAAACCCATATCCATCATTTAGAAATTATTATATATAAAACCCATATCCATCATTTAGAAATTATAATACATGAATACATAGATATTTATATATATATATAAACACACCTAGTCTTCATCAAGCTGATGGTATCTTTCAATGAAGAATACTTCTTGTGAAACACACGTGTCTTAATGGGTCTGTCGTTAAGAATCGGCTCTTCTAACATTCCCACATCATTACTACCATGTTCATGTTGACCATACGTACCATGATGATCATCATTTTCATCATCGTTTAGCCTTTCCTTTAGGAAAACTCTCATGTAGACAAGGCCAACGAGAAATGCTATAGCAGAAACCTAAAACATTACTCCAAAAAAACTATCTTTAGAGTTTGGATCACATGAGAATGTAACGAGTTGATGATAAAAATGTACCTGGAAAGTCAAAGCTATGGGTAGGAAACGAGCAACTAGTGTACCGAAAAGTCCAGCGATTGTTTTGATACCAGCTAATATACCAAATGCTGATATTCTTCTACTACCGTGAATATTTTCTGCCTGAACAAAATCTTTTAAGTGATCTGATCGATAGAAATATGTTGATTACATATTTTGTTATAATAATGATAGTTTATTAAAAATAATGTACCACATAAGCATAAGCGAGGCAGTCGACGGTGCCTTCGCATACCATAGAGGTCAGAATCTTGCTTATATAAAACACGTAGAAGAATTTTGTATCCCTTCTGTACCCTAAAATTACTGTCAAAATTAAACAATAAAATTAATTTTCTTTTGATAATATGAGACAGTATTACTAGAAAGTAAGAATACAAAGAGAAATTTTAATTTCTTTGGATTAGTAGTATAAAATATATAAGAGCTATTAAAATAGGCGGATTGTCTATAGTGAGTCCATGTCTAATACTTTATGGACCGGTCATAGATAAACCCATATATAAAACGGATTAATATGGTCTATGTCCAATTTCATTCATGGATAAAACCGGTTGGACAATATGAACATTGGACAGTCCATATAACCGAAAAATCTAGGTCAAAATTGATTTGAGGATAAAATTAGAACTCGTTTTAATGTCTCAATTTTTTTTTATAAAAAATTATCTTTTAACTATTATTTTCTAAATAATAGAGACACCTATGGACAGCCTATTTGGATATAAGGCCATCCTTAATAGGGGGATATCAAATATTTTTTAGATTAATTTGTAATTAAATTAAATGTAAAAAGTGGTTTAATGAGTAAGAAAATATGATACAAAATCATGTATAAGATACTCTTACCTCTTAATTTTTTAATTTTAATACTAGAATATTTTTAAGATACAAAGTTAAAATCCTCCCAATAATAATGCTCTAATCGTTTTAATGGGCAGAGTCATAAATAGTCACAGTTGTTTATCTTCACAGCTTTATAACCTTTAAATTTTGCAGATAACGAGTATTGTTGTACTTGCGATATAAAACCGTTAATTTCTGGTAGTTTATTTACGATCATAAGGTATGAAAAAAACATTTAGAATGTTTAGTTAAATCGATTTTTTTTTGTTTTGTTTTTGTTTTGTTGTTGTTGACATTAAAGCAGTGGTACATTGTGTGAGTTGGGAACACTAATGAAGGAGGAAAATGACGAAACATGAGCATGCATGCGCGCATGAAAGTGGGGTAAAAAGGCTTCTTTATAACTTCCACCTCCACGTAATACTTTCCAAAATAAAGAATATTACATTGACGTACACATATCTTATTGCTTTTTTGATTTTGATTTTATTGTGTTAAAATAGCTAGCTAGTGAGAGTTCTTTACTTTTGCGTCGGTGTATGTGACTCCCATGAATTGAAAAAAGCAACAAAAGAAAATAAGAAATTAAGAATAGATAGAGACAAAACAAACGAACCAGGAGGAACAATGGAGAGACACATAGGAAGTGTGAGGACTGTTTTAATCCCATATCTGTCTGATAAATTCCCGATCACTGGCATCATTATCATCGTCCCCATCCCTATTACCTTCATGATTCAATAGTTCTCGATCATCATTATCACACACACACTCACAAAATGTCATCAAGATTATAACATATGATTGTTTAAAAAGAACATATCAATTACATCTAACGATATATTAATTTCAATTATTTGAAGTGATTTTGTTTTGTATAAAAAAATAACTAGAGATAGAAGAATATTTAATTTAATAAGAGGAAAATGCTTTACTTTGAATACAAGTTTTTTTTTACTCTTTTTTCAAGTTTTTATCAGCTGATTTTTTTTTCATTTCTTTAGTTACGATATTTGAAAACATTAGATGAATTAATGCAGAGTGAACTGAATTTAGCTAGAAAGAAAAATTACTCTATTATTATGAAACTAAACAACCAGTCAAAGCCATTGTTTCAAATATGAAAGATAGTAAATTCTTTAAAAATATTTAGTTTGAAAAAGAGAAAAAACTCAAAACCTATGATCATGTTCATAATAGGTTATCAATTTCAAGGTTAGAGACATACATTTAGATGCATATATGTCATGGTCAGTTTTAAGCAAAGAAGAAACAAATCTTTAACAATCAAGAAATGAAAAAATGAAGATCAAAGAGATGAGAGACTAAAGAAAGCATATAAATATGTGAGTAAAGGTTGGTACCACTTGTTGGAAACCAGTGAGGTAAACAGCCAGAGAACATGAGTCATCTGGACCGGAGCACACGGCGGCGACGGTGACGTCGGTAATCACCGGTACTACCATGAATCCGGCGAAGCCAGAAAGGAAGACCGTCGTCAACATATGTCTCAGCCCTCCAATTCCATTCTCCATAACCTATACCGACCTTCTTGGTTCAAGAAGAGACAAAAACAAAAACACAACAGTGTTTAAAATTTTGTTTGGATTTTGATTTTGGACAAAACAAAAAATGAGAAAGTTTATTATTATGTAGTGTTTTCATCAGATATTTTTTATTTTTCTGTCAATTCTTTATTATAAAATTTAATTGATGGATATATGAGATCACATCAGACTTTTGGAGGATATTTTGGTATTTTCTGGCCGACTTGATTAAATTAGTCATTATCTCTTGAGTATTTTTCTTAGTGCACATTACTAATTATGTGACATGTTCTGAAGTTAAAGGCTATGCAAAAATATTGGTAGTGCCAGTTTCAATCTACATTAAAGAAAATGTATATAAATCTAGACCATTACGAAATGAAACAAACCATAAATCTAGTTTAGAAGTTTTGTATCACGACAAGTAAACGACGGCATGTAACAAAAATAATCTCTCGAAACAAGTTGATATCTCTTATCAAGCTTCTGATTTTGAAGTGTTGTTGATTCTGATGTTTACTTACGGCAGAGAAGAATGGTCTTTAATCAGAAGACTTTGAATGAATCCAATCATCTGTGCATGTAAGGCAATGTCATTATGTTAGGCATTAATTATTAAAAGTTCCGAATAATTAAGACTAATATGGTTGTAGTTCTAAAAAATACCACAGAGAATGCGACGCATAGAAGGCTGAATCCAGGGAAATAGAATGGTGCATTATCCGATAGAAACAACGCTATAATAACAAGTCCAAAATATTTGTTACAACGCAACGGGACGTTAGTTTCTAAGTAAAACTGTTTATTTTCTTGTATTAACGTACCTGTCAATGGGCTATATACAAATGGAGCCATAACTCCAGCAAAAGCCTTTACCCCGGAGATACATCCTTGGACTTTGCCCTATAACGAGATGGAAAAAGATAGATAAATTAAAAATCAGATTCATGAGATCCGACGAATGGGCGATAGGCGGTATGAGGAAGGATTTACTCGGTGGCTCCAATCTCGTACTTAATTAATCTCTTTTAAAGATATTTTTATTAAGTTAGAAACGTTTTAGCATATTTTTCAATTTTGGTTGCACTATAGTTGTATAAACATTTATTTTTTCTTTGAATATATTTTAACATTACATTCAAAAAAAAGAAAAAGATAGATAAATATATTATGTTGTTTGAATTAAAACTGTGATGTGTAAAAATATAAATTTATGAATGTATTTCACACTTAATCTTGTTTGTATTTACTATGTTTGTAGAAATGTATTGTTATTATATTATATAATGGAATGATACAACTTATATATAAACATATAACATAATCAAAGGACATAATTAAAGGGATTACATAGAATAATATATTAATGTTATTAGAGGAATATATGGGATTTGAGTAATCATAGATGGTATGATGGTGCAATTTTGGGTATGATTGGTATATATTTTAAAAATTGTACAATTTACTAATTACGATTTGTGGAACTTCATATATTGTGTTTTTAAGTCTCTGTTGAATCTTGTTTTAATTTCGTTTTTAAAATTGTACCATTTACTCTAGATACATTTATGTCTTCTAAAACTTCTTTGAAGGTGTTAGCCAAAAAAAAAAACAAAAATTTGGGAAAAGAAAATTACTTTTACGATTTACCTGTTCACTGGATCCAACTTGTTTTGAGGCAATACCACAAACCTATAGCCAAATCCAAGAGAGAAATTTAATAAATCTACCACATTCTAACTTTTTCTTTTACTATCTACCACATTTTATAAATTTTTTTACACATACCACAATTAAAAAACAGAAAAGACAATTACACCCTCTGATTTTTACATTCTTTCATTTCTTTCTCTTTTTCTTCTTCTTTGGTTTTAACTTTATCTTCTCTCTCATTATCTTTTATCTCTCTCATCTCAACTTCTCATTTATATTTACGAATTCATGAAGGATGAATTAGAAGCTTGAGTTTCATTAATCATTTGTTGTAAATTTGGATCTCTACCACTCTAGCATCTCTATTTCTTCAATTCATCGTTATTAGAAGCTAATTTAATTGTGATAATTAAGAAAACTGGACAAGATTCAAGAGGTAAATGTCAATCTCGAAAATCATAAGGATTGTTTAGATCTACGATTTGGTTTGAGCTATGATAAGATCTACTACACCTATGTCGTCTTCTCCTCTTCTAAATCTTCTGCAACATAACCGACATTTTTTGTTCTGCATCACCACCATCTTTTTTGTCCACGAATAATAATTTTTGTCTACGTTATAACTTATTCTTGTCCACGAATAATTTTCATGTAGTATAGATTCTCGTCAATAATGAGTAAGAACTATAATCTATTGTCATTAGATTATGGATATCAAAATGTTAAGATATTTTTTGTCCACGATATTATGCTTTCACTTTCACAATAGCAACTAATTGGACAACTAATCTACAATTAGTGGTCGACATAAACTTGTCCACGACTATTACTTGTGGAATATTTTATGGACAAGTTGTTTGTAACAAACTAACAGTAAACAAAGTGATTCTTGTAGACAACTTTTATACAACTACAAAAACTTTTACACAAATAATATTTGTGAACAAGTTGTTCACAGTTACGCTTTGTGGTAACTTCTCATGATCAGCTTCTTTAATAACTAATATTTGTGGACATGTTGATTAAATTACCTGACTATTATTCGTTGTAAAATTACTCATAAATATTATCCGTAGAAAACTTGTCTACAACTATACCTCGTGGACAATTAGATTACTTATAATATGTTGTTTCTTTTTTTTCAAGGGTAAAATCGTCTACTTTCAAGTCAACTACCACATAAATGTGGTATATTAAAAAAGATTTTGAAAATGTGGTAGAATTAGAAATGAAGCCCACAAAATGTGGTAGAATAGATAAAAAAATCCCAATCCAATATGTGTTTATTAGGCAATATGAACTAAAAGGCTCCATATACGTATGGACAATAATATATGAAGCCATAAAATCTTACTGATGGCATTATGAACATTGCTCCGGGTACAAGCACGGTTGTGGCATAAGGAACCTATATGCGAGCAAAACAATCAGGGCCAGCTCAATAATTCTTGAAAATACTATGAACCATGTTTAACTTTCATATTATGGATCTTAATTGTACATAATTTTTATCATAACAATGGTTTTTAAAATATCGCATTTTTTGGTAAGAATTATTCTCAATGCACTCACCCAGGCTGACCATGCAACACTTAGACAAGCTGCCTACACCATAAACACACCCAAAATTCTTAGGTTTACACAGATATATCAGTATTAAGGACATAAATTTATTTGGTATGTCACAGAAATAGAAAATAAATAGTTGTAAAATATTTACATTGAAAAATTCCATAAGAAGCCCGGTTGATAACACTTTACGTTCTCCAATGGCAGAAACCAATATCGGCAATATAAACAGCTGCAGAAATATTTAATTTTAGCAGCATTTATCTCAATGAACAATATCTATATAATATAATGTAATACATTTTGAAATATTTACCTGAGAGATGGAGCCAATGATGGTAACCAAAAGCAAGAGCTCGGCAAAGTCATTTTTTGTGAACCCAAATCGGGCTTTCAGAAAATACTGTGTCAATTACAAAAGTTTAGTACATTTTTTTGTTTTAACTAATAGATGAATGTAAAAAAAGTGTGGAGATGAGATAAACCAAGAAAGCTGAGTGCATTCCACTTTGCGAGAAGGTAGCAAAGAATGTAACAACCAATGCTTGAATAAGTATGGTGCTGTGTTATAAGAAAATCATATCAATCATTTAGGATTACATATCTGTATGTACATGACATTACACATGCATGTATTGTATACATATGTGTGTGTATGTGAAACGTACCTATTCTTTATCAAGCTTATCATATCTTTGAGAGAGGAGTACTTAGTGTTGAAGACATGTGTTTTAGTTGGTGCGTCTCTAATTAGACTCGGCTCAACTCTCATCTTTAGATCAACACTATCATCTTCGTCATCATTATTGCTGTGTAATCTCTCTTTTAGGAAAATTCTCATGTACACTAGACCAATCAATAGTGATACAGCTGAAACCTAATACATTAAAAATTTTCTTATATATACAAGATAAAGGTATATGCAAAATATATAAAAAATGCAAATCTTCATGACATGCCATTTTTCCCGAGGTTTTTGTGAGTTTTCAATTGAAAATTTTATATTTATAACTTAGTTATAATCTTCTGATTCCGATGTATATTTTATTAGCTAATATCAAAAGCTATGGAAAATAAATCTTAAGAAATTGATTGTATATGATTGAATCTTGTTTTGAGATTATCTTTTGATTTCGTCATTTTTTGTTAGCATGTATGATTATACAATACCTGAAAAGCCGAAGCTATGGGTAAGAAACGAGCTGAGAATGTTGCACAAACACCTGAAACTGTTCTAACGCCGGCTAAAACTCCAAACATTGATATTCTTTGTCTACCATGAACATTTTTTGCCTGAAAAAATATAAGTAAACGAAATGATAATCTCGTATATATAAATTAATATTATGAGTGTATTATCGTGGTAAAAAGAAAACAAAAGTTACACACTTACGACATAAGCATGAGCAAGACAGTCAACGGTTCCTTCGCATACCATATCAAAGAGAGTCTTGGTTATATAATATGCATAGAAGAAATTGGTATCCCTTCTATACCCTAATATCACTACAAAAGTTTTAAGATTATGAGTGTTCTGTATTAAATAAGAACAAAACTTGTTGATGATATAATGTGTGTTAAGGAAAAAAGAAGAAGGGACCTGGAGGGAGAATAGAGAGGCACATAGGTATAGTGAGCAATGCTTTGATTCCGTATCGGTCTGATAGATTCCCAATCACTGGCATCATTACCATTGTCCCTAGTCCTACTGTCTTGTATTCACCATATATGTTCACCGTATCATAACAAAAGTTTACATTAGTTGTCTTAAAATTCTTATAATATTGCACTTGTTCTAAACATACAACCACAACAAGAACAACAACAACCGAAGATATTTGATTCGGTAGAATCAAATCAAAGTCTAATATACAACAAAAAAAAAATTGGAGGACCTATGTGTTTTATTAGAGAATTTAGACAGTTTATAAAACACTAGTCTGATACTAAAATGCCTAAAAAATATTTAATTTTAAGGTAAACTATAGATTCGGTTCACAAAAAAAAAAAAAAAAGGTAAACTATAGATTCTTCACAATATATACCCTTATCTTTACAACTAGAATCGATTATTTTATTGTTATATTTAATTAGTTATCAAATTTGAACTCATTGAAGATATTTTTGGAAGCATTTGTTCTGACCATAAGATGAAAGAGTCATAAAAAAATAAAAATGAAAAAAGAGACTAAAGAGTAAAAAACAAAAACCAATACGCATCGATTCGATAGATATGTATAAGTGTAATATATAAGTAGAGGTGTTTACCACTTGTTGTACTCCGGTGAGGTACACGGCGAGAGAACATGAGTCTTTTGGACCGGAGCAAACCGCGGCGACGGTGACGTCAGTCATCACTGGCTTCAGCAAGATGTCGGCGAATCCCGATAGGAAAACTGTCGTCAGGATGTGTCTCAGCTCTCCTAGTGTATAGTCATCCATCTCTTTCCTCTCCTAACCCTCACTTCAAAATTCTAAAGCTATACAATGTCTCACAGAAATGTATGTCTTACACAAATATCGTCAAGACAAGATATTAATATTGTAAAGCCACATAAATTATCCTTGAGGCAACATTTATAGTAGGCCGTCGGTAACACCTTGGTGGATTCATGGTCCTTTTGACGTTTTGGAAAAAAGAGAGTGAGACATTAATGGTCATGGCCCCTTAGATCTGTTCCACCGGTCCCTACCGGCTCCCCTCGGACCACAAAAATGTATGTGTTTTCATTAATTATTGTCCTCTATAAGACTGTAAAATCACATTGAAAGGTATTTTCCTAGAATGTATAATTTATTTAATATTGTAGAATCCGTGATTAATATTGTAAAATCCATTGATTAATATTGTAGAATCCGTGACATTCTACATATGGATTCTTATTGAAAGGAATTTTCTTAGCATGTATAATTTGTTTATAACAGTTTATTTTACTTTTTTCTTTACCGCATAAAATACTAAATACAGTTTATGTTGTATTTACATAAACGTTTTATTCGATATAACTTTAGAAGCAAGAGTACCCAACAAGTAAAAACAAAATCCGGACTCTAAAAATTACAAAGATTGTTTTAAAACTATCTCATCTTTGTGATGCTCCCACCAACACTTCTGTGTGAGTTCCATGTCCATTCTGATCTGTCGACCCACCATTCTTAGTAGGCCCACGTTGATTTTTAATGGGGTGACAAATATTTGACGACCTGTTTATTATGTCCAAGACCTGTTTATTATGTCCAAGATGCTCTAAAGACTTGTTTATCGACCTACATATCACCATATCATATTTTCATGTGTTTTTTTCTTCACTCACCCATCATGAATTACTCCAGCTACCCTCTTAATTGTGTAGTTCTCTCATGACGTTTAACCGAAAAGATATATGCACTTTATTGACATAAGTGGTCAAATCATTTCTTTTATACTTCTCCACATGCACCACCATATTTTTTGAAATCAGGGTGTCATAATTTATCTATACTACCAGACTGCAATGTTCTCATTGCGCACCAAAACCATCACCCCCTAACGGTGAGAGGCTTCTTGGCTCCACAGTCTTTTAGATTTGTCTCTGATACCACTTGCAACATCTCGACTATAACCTCTCTTAAAATGGGCCATCTCTTTAGTGGGCCTGGGCCATAGACCCACCGCTATCCGACAGCTGAAAAGGTCTAAAATTTTGTGTTCCGATCCTACAAATCACTACATGATATTTCCCGTGTTTAGTCCTCACTCACATTTCCAACAATCACTTTTTGTTTTTGTTTTTTAAGCTCAGTTTTATGTATTGTTTTCTCAATTGTTTCTTACTACTGGTCATTTATTTTAGATGTTTCCTTTTTCTAAAATAATTTAAAACATAGCCAACAATCTTTATATATATATCTGAAACAGGGGAAAAACATAATCATAGCCAAAGAAACATCTCAATGCTTGACCTAAGCTTCTTCCACGTCTTTGGAACCCAATAAAATATGTATCTGAAACTAAGTATGTCCAATGAAATATGTCATCAGTTTTCATAAGGAATAACACCAAACTTGGTCAAATAGGTATAGGAACCCCATTGTTGTAACTAGTTTCTTTGGCCACAGTTACAATGACATAACTGAGGCGCTCTAAGCAACTATGGCGACCAAATGTTGTTTGCTTGACTCTAGTGACTGGCGATCAAAAATTTGAACAGCCACTACTGAACACATTTAAATCAGCCCAAATCGTAGCGAGTACAAAACAAACAACAACATATATATGTTGATGTAACCAGTTTATACGTAGCCACCAACTACCCAACTATAATCTTTTATTCAAGGAAAATAAAATGAAAGATTAACAAATGATCTTCTGAAGCAAACTTGTACAAGATTCAAGTTGCCTTTGCTTTATGAGGTATCTCTTGTGAAACTTCCGCTTCTGCTGTGTTGTTGATTGTTTTATTCACTACTGGAGAAGGAAGATCTTTTAATAGAAGACTCTGAAGGAATCCAATCATCTGTGTGAAAGTAAAGCAATATAATGATATTCATTAATTAATACAATTATAATAATTAACAATCAACATATATAGGTGTTATTATTAACTGATATAAACAATACCAAGGAGAAGGCGATACATAGAAGGCTGAATCCAGGAAAATAGAACGGTGCATTTTCAGAGAGAAACAATGCTGTATATATCAAAACAAACATTATATAAGTTTTTTTCAATCTCCATATAATAATTAATGTTACACAAGATAGTAAACAATGAAGCTCATTTTAATGTGTTCATGCACGTACCTGTTAAAGGACTAAATACACATGGAGCTAAGACTCTAGCCAGGGACTGTACCCCAGCTATGCATCCTTGGACCTTCCCCTATATCAAGATGGAAGTCAGACATCAAAACATCATCATATATCATTTTGTATTTAGCGGGTGGTACCTGTTCATTGGATCCAACTTGTCTTGAGGCAATACCACAAACCTATAACCAAATCCAAGATATGTTTAAGCAATACTAAGTAAAAGTCTCCATTCCTAAAGACCATGATGCATGCTATTAAATTCTTACAGATGGCATGACAAACATGGCTCCGGGTACAAGCAAGGTCGTGGCATAAGGAACCTACATTGTTCAAAAACAAAACAATAAGGGCCCTTTGAATTTGCAATCCTTTAAAATTGTAATCAACCATCTCACACTCTCTTTGACCAAATATCTCCATGTAAAGGCTGACTCACCCATGCTGACCACGCAACACTTAGACAAGCTGCCTGCAAGACAAGAACATGATTAGGACATCAATTTATTTCTTGATGTCATAGATTAGTTAGAGTGAAATGAATCAATCTTTTTTAGTCTAAAGTGTTTACATTTAAAAATTCCATAAGCAGTCCTGTTGATATCACCCAACGTTCTCCAATGCCAGATACTAGTATCGGCAATATAAACAGCTGAGAAAATAAGTTTAACACAAAAATATCATTGAACATTTTATTTATTTATTTAACTATATATAAACTAGAACTACATATATTTTACAAAAATATACCTGGGAGGTGGAGCCAATGATGTTATCTAGTAGAAAGAGCTCAGCAAAATCATTTTTGTTGAACCCAAATCGAGCTTTCATAAAATACTGTTATTTGTCAATACATTTTTGTTTGTTAATTAATTAATAGTCTTTTTCAATTTTAACAAAAATAAGGAATGTAAAAGTGTGGAGATGAGAGAAACCATAAAAGCAGACACCATTCCACTTCGAGATAAGGTGACGAAGAATGTAACAACCAATGTTTGAACAAGTATGGTGCTGTTTTATAAAAACACGTATGAACTATTTAGTGTTATATATATTAAGTCATATATACGTACGTAGATGAAACCATGCATGCATACGTACATCGTATATATATGAAACGTACCTATTTCTTATCAAGCTGACCATATCTTTCAAAGAGGAATAGTTAGTGTTGAAGACATGTTTCTTAGTTTGTGCGTCTCTTAGATTACCACCATAATCAGAATTGCCGTTATCTTCATCGTGTAATCTCTCTTTGAGGAAAACTCTCATGTACACCAGACCAATGAATAATGATATAGCTGCCACCTAATCAATTATAATTTGTTTTGAGTAAAAATACAAATCTTTAAATTATGAAAAAAATATGAATTTTTAAAACTATCAAATCCCTCCATTAAAAGTTTCAACTTAATTTTATTATAGTAGGGTCACACAAAAAAAAAGTTTTATGATATCATTTAATATATCTATTTAGTCCTCAGGGTATATTTTCTTTTAAATAACCAATATAAAAAGTTATGGGGAAAAAAAACTTAGGAAACTGATTGTATATACGAATATTTTGATCATCATTTCAAAATTTTCTCGTAAAATTTTCAAATTTTTTTTTTTTATTACTTAGGGTAAATCCCCAGACCTATGCAAGGATCCGACACTAATCCCTGGGGAGAGGGTATTCTACGGATAGGATCCCCCAGTTTTTCAAATGGGACTTAAGCAAGAGGCCTATACCCATGTGGCCAAAGGTATATTTCGTTTTTGTTTGTATGTATTTATATATGATTCATGTATGATGAAACCATACCTGAAAAATCGAAGCTATAGGTAGAAAACGAGCTGCAAATGTTGCAAAAACTCCAGAAATTGTTTTGACACCGGCAAAAACTCCAAACATTGATATTCTTTTCTTTCCCTGAACGTTTTTGGCCTTACAAAAATAAACAAAATGACATCTTATAATAAGACAGAAACATCATATAGTCCTATAATTATATTTTGTTGAATTGGTAAGGAAGAGAGTACCACATAAGCATGAGCGAGACAGTCAACAGTGCCTTGGCAGACCATATCAAACAGAGTCTTGGTTATATAAAATGCGTAGAAGAAATTTGTATCTCTTCTATAACCTAATATTGCTGCATAAATTTACTACATTTAGTCGCTAGTAGCCAACTTTTCTTGTATAGTAACAATAACAATAACCAAAAACATAGTGATATGATGTAGTTTAGTAGTACAATAGGGTAGTAATAATTTTCTCTTCCGAATTCAACTTTTTGTTTTTGCTTTTGGTAGAAAGAGTTATTTTCTACATTACATAGGGTAGTAATATGATTTTGGATTTTGAAAGAGTTATAGATAAAAGTTCCAAAATTTGATATATTAGTTGCTATGACAAGTTTTTTTTTTTTTTTTTGGTCAATGACAAGTGTTTTTGGTTGTTGGCAGAACGAAAGACCTGTTATTACGTTGTCTAGCATTCTTGTCGAACTCGTGAGTCGTGAGGTGTCATATCAAATAAATAGATAATTAATCTTATGTATATTTTTATTATATGTATATTTTATTTATTTTTGTTGTTTAAACATATTTCGTGGTACACGTGATATATATTAAAAATGTCTTTTTCTAACAAAAATATTTTAAAAGAAATTTTGCCTTTAATTTGGTTGGTATATGGTAAGAAACATAATAGTGAATGATATTTTCTGATACCATTATACAAAATATTACCTATAAAAGATTTGTAGAATCGAATTAAAAAAATGAAATATGGAATATTCGAGTTTTTGCCTTAAAAATGGAATTAGAATTTTTTATTTACATAATAATTGTTTTATTTTACACATAGAAAATATTAACAATTGTATGTGGGAAAATAATTATTTCTTAATTCTTATGAATACTTGTTGATGGTAAACAACCTGGAGGAAGAATAGAGAGGCACATGGGAAGAGTGAGCAATGCTTTAAATACCATAAAAATAACTAATAATAGTAATTTATTATTTTTTTACAAAAAAGGAAAGTAAAAATAATTTATTTCTCTTAATATGTTAAGAAAATTACTTACAATAATAATATTCAATTATCACATCAATTTTAGGGAGATGTGCAACCCACAAATAGATTTTCTTTCAGGATATTCAAATGGACCGAAACAATGATTTATAATCCATATAGTCACATGATAAATGACAAGCAATCTACATCAGTAGAGAATCTGACCTAGACTAACATGACAACTCTTCTAATTCGTGTAGCTGAGTGTACAATATGATTGTTGGCATATGTGATCATGTATTCTTCTATACTTAGTGTAGCCAGCCATCTTTTTTCCTATATGAATCATCAACCCACCACTATGTGATTAGACAATCCATGTTAATCTCTTTATAAGATATATGAATTAACAGCTACAAAGATATATGAATGAATAGATGACAATATATATATATATATACTTTGAAAAATTAAAAAATCATGTACTTGAATAAGCCAAATGAAAGTGACGTGCAAAACGAGATTTACGTGGTGAAGCATCTCATACTTTTTTAACTTTGGCACTATACATTCATGGAATCGTTAGGTGTCCACGATCAAATAAAAAAAATCAAGGTATCTTTTGTTTTGGTAGTTTGGTACTCGTGCTTCTAGTTTTTAAAACGTTAGCAATTATCAGTGTATATATTAATGTATATAACAAATGATTGGCTTTGCATTTTTTCTATATATTTTTAGCTCAATGAGAACTAAAACAACTTATAAATTCTTTATTAAAATGGTTATAAAAAAATAAAATAAGAACAGAACTTGTTGATGGTAAGGAACCTGGAGGGAGAATAGAGAGGCACATAGGGATAGTGAGCAATGCTTTGATTCCATATTTGTCTGATAGATTCCCAATCACTGGCATCATTACCATTGTCCCTAGTCCTACTGCCTTTTTTTACCGTCAGTAAAAATGTTTACATAAATCAGTTTAACTATCTGAAGATTCTTATAATAAAGAAGCAACAATAACAAATCGGAAATATTTGATTCAGTTAAAACATGCAAACTCCAATTAAAATACAAAAACAAAATTTTCAATTAAAATGAATAATATGATTTTTTATTAGAAAATTCAGTGAGTTTTAATAGTGAAATAATTATTTATTTACCCAAAAGTTTTGTATTTTTTCATATTTAATGATTAGATTTGCTATTTTTGGTCACTAAAGCAACTATACATTTATATATGTTTTTTATTTATTTATTAATATAAAGTACATACTTACTTAATAGCAAACACTAACCTTCAAAATATTGGAACAAGAAAAACTCAAACATTTTCCACCCCAAAAAAAAAACTCAAAAATTACGTGTAAATTTTCCTTTTTAGAGTTTTATAAAAATTGTTGCAGTTTCTAGTGAATTCATAAAATCAAATTTAATTGCAAAAAAATTTCTGATTTAGTTTTGTTTTGAGGTCCATTTTATATCATGTACCAAAAATAATCAAATAATCAGTAAATAATGTTGTAAATCTCAAGGTTATATCAAAACTTTGAAAATTTCTGGAAGCATTTGTAATTACCAAAAGACTAAAAAGAGAAGTTAAAATGTAAAAGACCAAACATGCATTGATATGAGTAGAGAGTTTAGTACCACTTGTTGCACTCCGGTGAGGTAAACGGCGAGAGAACATGAACCATTTATGCCGGAGCAAACGGCGGCGACGGTGACGTCAGTCATCACCGGCCTCACCAAGAAACCAGCAAATCCGGACAAGAACACCGTCGTGAGCATATGTCTCAACTCTCCAATTCTATATTTTTCCATCTCTCCTCTCTTCTCTATTGATCTCCCCTAAGCTCACTTTAGGTTCTTGCAGAAAATAAATGTATATCTTATCAATCCACGCGACAAGATTCATATATTAATCACTATGTAATTATTCGTTATATTCAATGCATGTGTGGTCTGGTCAATGTTGTTTTTTTTTATTTTTTGAATGAATGAATGAATGTTAAATTTATTCAACCAAAAAAAACTGTTTTAAAATATATGCAGCTTGTAATAAACAGGTTACTTGAAAAAGATTAAAAAAACAGCTCTAATATTGATCTAAATTTGTGGTATGGTCATTGTCTAGAAAAGAAAAAAAAAATTTAATCAATAAAATAGAGTAACAAAGGCTAGCGAGTATAATTTTTTTTTTCAACACTATTTCTCAATATTGTAATAATCTACTTATCTTATCATTTCTTCACCTATTAATTCAAAATCTATTTCATTTGTTCCATAATCTTTCACATCATATCTCACTATTTTTTGTTCAATACATTTATATTAGTAGCTAAATATTTTTAAATAATTGAATGTCAAAAGGGTTATTGTTAGGATCTGATTCACTAAAAATGATTTTTATTTGTGTCAGTATGAAATGAACAAAATAAACTATATTTATAAAGTATGAAAGTGATGAATTTTGGTATAAAATTAAATTTATTTATTTATTTGTAATAAAATTATTGACTTCATATTTTTTTGGGATAAAAAAATTTATATCAATGGAAGAAAAAGAGTTACAAATTTAAACTTATATGTAATATTATTTTTATGAAAGTCTAATAATATTTTTTTCTTAAACATCTTTGTGTTCTTACTCTCATGGTCAACTTATTTGTTATTTTGAGGATAGGTTTTGAACTTCATTTTTGGGGAGATATAACAATAAGAATTAATTTTGGTTCAATATAATGCTATATGTTAGTTATCGTGGGGATCATCGATCCAAAAGTAAATAAATTAGAAATAAAAACATTTATTACAATATTTTCTTTAAGAAAATTAAGTTATTTTTTAACAATTAGCTGTAAGTCGTTATAAATGCAGGGGGGAGGTATATAAGAACCATATGGGTCATTTGACCCTGTTGAATTTTTCAAATTAGATGAATTTTTAAGAAAAATATCAAACTGACCCTTGTAAAATAACACAATTGAACCATATAATTTTTTTTTAATAACATAATTAACCTTTATAATTAGCTGTAAGTCGTTATAAATGAATATATTTTAAGTAAATCTGTACAACATTCAAGTTACATTTGCATCATCATATCTCTTATTAAATCTCTGCTATTCAAGGGTTGTTGATTGCTATGATCTTCACTTGTGGCAAAGAAGAATGCTCTTTTATCAGAAGACTTTGAAGGAATCCAATCATCTATGCATGGAAGGTAATGTCATTATTACAAAAATATATTAATAATCAACATATTTTTGATAAGTGATATGATTGCAAATATAAAGAATACCACAGAGAAGGCGATGCAAAGAAGGCTGAATCCAGGGAAATAGAATGGTGCATTATCCGATAGAAACAACGCTATAATATCAAATCCAAAATCAAATATTTGTTACAACGCAATAGAAAGTTATTTTCTAAGTAATAATTATGTGTTTTTTAATTCATGAATTGAATTGTGTAAACTGTTTATTTTCTTGTGTTCACGTACGTACCTGTCAATGGACTATATACAAATGGAGCCAAAACTCCAGCAAAAGCCTTCACCCCTGATATACATCCTTGGACCTTCCCCTAGAATCATATGGAAGAAATAATTAAATACATTATCTATATATTATTCTAGATACATTCTTTGAAAACGTTTACAAAAATGAGAAGTTGGGAGAAGAAATCTTTTACGATTTTACCTGTTCGCTAGATCCAACTTGTCTTGAGGCAATTCCACAAACCTATAACCAAATTCAATATGTGTGTTAGGCAATAAGAAGTTAAAAGCTCCATTACTTATGGACAATATATGAAGCCATAAAAATCTTACTGATGGCATCACGAACATGGCTCCCGGTACAAGTACGGTCGTGGCATAAGGAACCTATATGCGAGCAAAACAAACTACACTGTTGAACTATGTTGGACCAAAGATGGAACAAGGATGGCCATCTCAATAATACTTATAAAATACTATGTGCCATGTTTAACTTTTAAATTATGGATCTTATTTTTAGAATTTTCAATGAACTCACCCATGCTGACCACGCAACGCTAAGACAAGCTGCCTGCACCACAAACACAACCAAAATTCTTAGTTTTATATATATTATGGATAAATACATCGACTTATATACGATGTCACAGAATATTTATATGAAAACGAAAATATAAATATAGTTTTTAGCTAAAATTTACATTGAAAAATTCCATAAGAAGCCCTGTTGATAACACCTTATGTTCTCCAATGGCAGAAACCAATATCGGCAATAAAAACAGCTGTAAAAATAAATTTTAATTAGCAGCATGTATCAATGAAAAATATCTATTTCCTGTAAAACATTTTTACAATATGTACCTGAGAGATGGAGCCAATGATGGTAACCAACAACAAAAGCTCAGCAAAGTCATTTTTGGTGAACCCAAAACGAGCTTTGAGAAAATACTGTGTTAATTACAAAAGTTGAGTAAATTTTTGTTTTAACTGATAAATGAATGTAAAAGTGTGGAGATGAGATGTACCAAGAAAGCAGACTGCATTCCAGTTTGCGAGAAGGTAGCAAAGAATGTAACGACCAATGCTTGAATAAGTATGGTGCTGTGTTACAAACCATATCGATCATTATATTTAGGGTTATGTATAATTATATAGTCACATATTTTTATGAAACGTACCTATTCTTTATAAGGCTGATCATATCTTTAAAAGAGGAATACTTAGTGTTGAAGACATGTGTGTTAGATGGTGCATCTCTTAGAATCGGCTCCGCTAATATCTTTAGACCACCACCATCATATTCGTCATAGTCGTCATTGCCCTCATTATTGTCTAATCTCTCTTTTAGGAATATTCTCATGTACACTAGCCCAAAAAATAGTGACATAGCTGAAACCTAAAAGCAATATACAAGACAAAACTTAGAAAAAGTATGAATCTTCTCAACATACCCATTTTCTCAAAACTTTGGTGAATTTTCAACTGATATCATTTTAATATAATTTAGTAATTCTGTATCTTTTGTTGGATAACCAATATAAAAAAGTTATGAAAAAGTAATATGATCTCTTAATATTCGTCATTTTTTGTTTGCATGTACGATGATATGATACCTGAAAAGTCGAAGCTATGGGTAAGAAACGAGCTGAGAATGTTGCACAAACTCCTGAAATTGTTCTCACACCGGCTAAAACTCCAAACATCGATATTCTTTTTCTGCCATGAACATTTTTGGCCTGAAATATATTTGAATGATATGATATCCTCGTATTAATGTTATGAGTGATTTATATGATATTAAGACAAAAATATCATATACTATGATCATGGTAAAAAGAAAACAAAAGTTACCACATAAGCATGAGCGAGACAGTCAACGGTGCCTTCGCAGACCATATCGAATAGAATCTTGGTTATATAATATGCATAGAAGAAATTGGTATCCCTTCTATACCCTAATATTGCTGCAAAAGGTTACTATATATTTTAGCATTATTTGAACAAATTTTAATGTTGGAGATACAATAATAAATTGATTTTCTTTCCGGATATTCAAATGGACCGAAACAATAATCTACATCCATTAGTTACATGATAAATGACAAGCAATTCACATTTGTAAAAACAATTGGCGTAGACTAACATGACAACTCTTCGACCATATATGAACCATTAACCTACCACCATACTTGTGGTTTATACAATCTATTTTAACCTCTTTATAAGATATATGAATTAACAGCTCTATAGAAGATATATTAATCATCTTATTTACTTTGAAAAGAAAAATCATGTATTTAATTACTTCTTGTTTGTTTTTTTTGTTTTAGGTTTGTAAGTAGTAAACAATAATAGGAGATAAACAGCAAAAGAATAAGCCAAATGATATACACTCATGGAATCGTTAGGTGTCCAAGATCAAATATAAAAAAACTCAAGGTATCCTTTGTTTTGGTAGTTTGGTAGGTACTACTCGTGCGTAATTGTCTACTTTTTAAAACGTTAGCAATTATCAGTATCTTATATAATATAACAAGGTTTTTTCTAACTTTTCACCACGTTACGATATTTGGCGCTTTCTATTGATTACATGTGTCATCTTTTATTTTTAATTAATTTTTTCATTTTTATTTTTAACTAAAACATTTATGTCAATCTTAATTCCAAATAACCATATAATTAGGTAAAAATTAAAATAAAATTATTATGAAAAAATAATTATGAGTAAAATTATTAACTGGGATTAAAAATTTTTTTTTTTTGTCAACGGAATTAAAATTCATTTCTCTAAAGCAAAAGATATAACTAAAGTTTTAAAACAAAATCACATATTGCATATGATATATTACATATATATGTATATATGATTTACTATCACATAATTAAAAAATCTATTTTACATAATTTTCTTACATTTTATTTAAATTTTCATCCATCATATTTATTTTATTATAAAATACTCTATTCTTTTTTCAC